AACTTTTTTTGTAGTTCTGATATCGAAAAAATAAAAACGATATTGCACAGACAAAATTCTCCTTTTTATCTGATGAAAATTTCGTTTCTTAGTTATAACTGTATCTTTCTCGGTTCTTTCCCACGCGAAACARTTTTTGCACTTATAAGACGGAGATGACAACACATGCTGGTGAAACGTCCTCTTATAATATTATATTATTCGGCTAAAATATAGTATTTAGAATTGTATCGTAACAAAGGAAACTATACCTAAATACATAACTATAACCCATTATACTACACACTTAATAATTACATCCAACACGTAATAGTATACCTACCTACCTATATTATATTATTATTATTATATTCATGTGGGTCTAGCATTATTGTGTATAATATGCACATTAATTGAGTAATTTTTTTTCGCCCTGTTGCTCGAGTCGTATTATAATAGTACCAACGCGCCATTATAATATTATATTTTAATAATATTCGTGTAGAAACACAACCACCGGCTCGTTTTAATAAACTCGTCGAAATCCATAAATAGACATTACCGCACGATGGTTATACTTAAAATACTTTGTTATACCCGGTATATAATATAATACCTGCAGCACGGTATTATAATACATTTCGGAGACGCATGATGTGCGTGACGTAACCACCTTGGGCGAAAAATCATTTAAAAAATGCATAAATAAAATAACATATTTTTTTGTTTATTTTTTATTAACGAGCAATAACATTATTTTTTCACACCGTAGGTATACCCAGTACACGTGTGTATTATTATTATGCGTATATCTATACGTAGTAAAATATAATATGCTATATAAAAATTATTATATAGGTATACGCACACGTTCGTGATTAAATATTTTATATCTCACATTTCAATCGCATATCGTACCCGCCACATAACATAATATATACCTATATGTATTAGACCTGCGACGGTGCAGACTTTGACAGTGTAATTATTAAACATTACATATTCATCAAGTACTTCAATATGGCTAATTATGAGTGAATATATTATTAAACAGCGTACCTATAATAATGTAARTGTGTGCGTGTGCGAGTATATAGAGGCATTTGTGGTTATGGGCAGAAAAAGAAATAAAAATTTAAATTGAAACTGTTTTTTCAAGAATATTATATTTTTAACGAGTATAAAAAAAAAAAATTATTTGAATAGGTACAYGCCATAATATAATGCATGTAAAATATCTATATATGTGCGTGTATGGTATTCAAAAAATAAAACTCAATGACTAATAAGCATAATAATCGATGTAGGCGAACAAAGATGAAAAAAATCTGATAAATCAATTATTTATAATTTTTCATTGTTATCTATCATTATWATTTTTTTTTAGTTGTAAAATGATAATTAAACTTTAGGCAATAATATAAGACTAGAAATTATAATATAGGTGGGTCCAGGTTGAATAACAATGCAACATTTCAATTATTTCACTTCAGACGTCTTATTCWTCAACGTTATTGTTATAACGTCAAAATTAATGTTTGGCACCTTTGAGTTTGATTTCAAAACTTTATTATTTTGTATAGATCATTTTTAATTGGATCCCGCATATCCGTAAAAATAATGAATAAAAAAATAAAAATAGTGCTTGTACAGAACTATACGCACGTGTTTTTATAGTTTTTACTTAGATTAGACAAATGTTCTATAATAGGTGTGATTAACGCAATACCCACTGTGCATTTTAGGTTACAGAACGTTGTAGCGATGTCTAATATAAGTTTCAATGCTAGCATCGCACTTCAACGTTACCAAAACATCATATTAAAAGGTTTAGTTTTACCAATAATTTAAGTTTGTATATAAACATCCCAGAAACGTTGACGTAAATATATGTTTCAACATCTCTGAAACAAGTATCTTTAACATAGTAGAAACAGCGTAGTGATGTGATGGAAAACGATTTTTATTTTCAATAATAATCATTATAAATATTATATTATAATAACAAATATTTCAAATTATTATTTCTAATAATAGACAAATATAGTGCTATTTTTATATATTTGTTTGTCAACATACCCCGCCCGCCCGACGCGACTGCTGCGCGGCTCGCTAAGACACTAATATCCACCCACCAGTCACCACACATAACATTTTTGTATTAAATTATTTACATTCCTTATAATTGCTCACATTTTACCGTTAGTGTGTATTTATTATTTAATATTTTTACGTACAAAAACTTTATTACCTACATAATACATGATGGATGTCCAATCTACTAGGTAGTAGAACGGTAAGTTACATTAATTTATATA